CGATAACTTCGTATAATGTATGCTATACGAAGTTATTACGGTATATTGGAGAGGATAGGTCTCTCGGAATTTAGATGATGGTGCATTTAATGAAAGACTTCGAACAGAAATCGAGGGAGCATTAAAATTTAGGGGTGTGCAAAACAATGCGGAAACCGCGCGCGCTATCGGGCACTGCGCCGTAGCGATTTCACGTTTGCAATATTTAATAGTTGCCAAACTTTCGGGCCGGTTTGAAGCAACCATTAGAGCGACTAGCGTGCACGGCAAACTCGGTTAATTTTAACACAATTAATTCAATTTTCCATGTACTTGGCGGTACACATGCCGTGTTTACTCGCTCGCGTCATTAACCCACAATTAAAGCTTAATTAATTTGGCCCTCGATGTAAACTTAGCTTTCGATACGGCGACGTTCAATTTGTCCGGCAATATCGGACACGGTGCGAGAATGAGCATTCCTGGCTTGGGATAGCCCACCCCTCCCCCCCTCGCATGCGGGATATTCTCTCCGCAGCGCCACGCCGCAGAAACGCATCTGAACCGTTATTGCACGCACGAGTTCATGCGCCTTTCAAGTAATGCGTATCGACTTTGCACTCGACGGATGCAAATATTTACACGTCGCTGGGCGCCGGGTGTCCAATTATCGCAGCTCGAAGCGTTTTATCTCGCACGCTAACTTCGCAACGATATGCAAAGCGACTCTATTAATTCCTCCGTAGGAGGAAGGAAGGAACGCTTCCCTCCCGGAGTGCACGCTCGAAAGTTGTATCTGATATGGCGTCGTATATCCCGCTCGGGAGTCTGAATTTAGATTTCGCGCGTACGCTTTGTAATTTATTCTATTACATATGCCATTGGAAACCGCGACAGCGGTATCAACTTACTCTACTCGCTGTCTCGCGCATATGTGTTACATTTGTTAAAAAATGGTTAGCTTGCGCGGAATCACTACGCTACCGTGATGGACTATCCGACCTTCTTCTAACTCCAAATACTCGCAAAGACGAAAATTGGATTATTTGATTCGTGTTTTTGTCCGATTCCCACACGGACAAAATTATTTTACTGAAGTATCTAAAAATTGGTTTGAATATAAGTCAGAAAATAATTTTATTGGATAAAATTATTGTGCAGAAAATAATTTTGGTTGGTCAAAATTATTATACATTACATTTTAAAAATGGAATAATATGAAAATTTTTAATATTCTAACAATCGATTTGACCAACATAATTATTTTCAAATCTCTATCTGACCAAATTTTTAGATGTTTTAGCAAATCTATTCTTTCCGTGCAGTGCTTTCATTAAATCCTTACGTGAAAGCTCTGTTTCTTTACAAGAACTGATTATTTTTTTTTTTTTAACCATACACATTACACAGGATTTTACTTGTAGTTTTCATTTCACGAGGTCCGTTCCAGATGTATAGATTAAGAAAAAATTTTCATTTCGTATCTCGATTACGTGCACGCTTATCAGGCAAGAAAACTTGCTCGCTTGATAAATCGTACCAGCAACGCGTCGGAGAACTTTTGGTCGGGAGCGTGATTAAAAGTCCTGACCGATATTTTGCTAATTACCGGCACGCCAGACACAAACGAGCCACTAATTACATGTCCCGACATAATGGGTAACCAGACACACAAAAGATTCCGGACTGAGCCCAAGCGGTGCGAGATCATTTGCGATCTCTCATTTGCAGTTTTGCCGATTTTTTTTCTCTCTTCCCTTTTATTTGCCCGCGTGTCCTAACTCCGATCTTTTTCCCTTGCAGATGACGCTACAAGTATCGTGGGTACGGCACAGGGACGTCCATTTGCTCACGATTGGCCGTTACACGTACACGAACGACCAGCGATTTCGAGCGATCCACAACGCCCATTCGGACGACTGGACGCTCCAAATAAAATATCCGCAACATCGGGACAGCGGTATTTACGAGTGCCAGGTCTCCACGACGCCCCACATGAGTCATCTAGTCCATTTAAATGTAATCGGTAAGTTTATTTCGACATAGTTTTACTATCGAAAAACGACAACAAAAAAAATGAAAGAAAAAAATATAAAGCAAACTGCCGTTCGTTCTGGAATATTACCGATCGCAAAACGACGCGATTACGTGTACACGAAATAGATTTAACTTCCTCTCCCACGCGATACCTCGCGATTAGGTTTCTATCAAATATTAGTATGCGGGGAGCATGCGGGAATCCTGCCTAATTACGAAGGTGTACGCAACAATTAGTTAATTCTAATCTGAATCTGCCCCAGTTAGCGTAGCGACTGCGCGAAATTTAAGCCGAGCTTAAATTCTGGCGGAGCGCCAATGGAACACCTGGGATTGGTTGATACCGATGTTGAGCTAAGCTCTGCCTTCTTCTTCCAGAGAGAGAGATAGGGCTTTTCATTACCGCAAAATTATCCGCGCGGACTTGAATTCGATAACGGCGCCCCCCTCCCTCCCCCCCCCCCTTCTCTCAAGTTTTTCAACGCTCGCGCGTTTATCGTTCGCTGCCGTTTTCGTCGCGCGACGCGCGGAGATAAATTCGGCGAGATACGGCGTCGACGTGTCGAGGAGTTCACTCCGTCGAGGTTTGCATAAGTAATTACTCCGAACGATAATCGAACGCACGTACGGCTCAAGCGCGAAACGCGGGCGATTCGCATACATCATTCGCGGTGCGGCATACGCGATTTAATCACGCCCCGTTATATACCCGAAGTACCGAGCGCGGAAAGAAGTTTGCCGACCGGATCGTTTGAGGAGCAAACTTTTATACCAGGCCATATCGCACGTACGGCTTGCTACGAAAAACTTTCGCGATCGCTTAAACGTCAGGCCGGGAATTTATCTACCGCGCGGCGCGGGCCGAAATTGATTTAAATCGTCTCGAGGGCGGCACGTCGTCGCGTGCCTCCTTTCGCGTTTTTTCCCGTCGCGATGCGCCGTCGTCGTCGTCATCATCGCGATCAGGGTCGCGAATTTTCCCCTTTAAACCACCCCTCGCCGAGAGGCGAGAAGCTGCCTCTTTAAATTTCGCCTACATTAAGACGAAGGTGAACGAAGGGATCCGTCATATTTCTCTCTCTTCTTTCCTTTTTCCTCCTCCGGCGCGCCAGCTACATTTCCGTCGGAGATGATCTCAGGAGGAGAAACACACGGGGCGAAAATCCGATGGCGGAAAGGTGGGTAAGAGAACGAGTCGTTTATCATTTCTAGCCCTGACCCTTAACGCAACGGTTGAACAAATGATCCTAAAGAGTAACGACTATACCTGCTTGCTTGCTCGAGGATCGTCTTCTCTTCAAAGAGCGTTGTACTTTTCTCCCCCGCGGTAATGTAATTACTCATCATTCGAGGTGAGAGGTAGACAAGTTCGGGAGCACGCATTTACACAACAGATACAAAACAAATCCGAACTCGCGTCGATAAAATCTCCCCCCCTCCCTCCCTCCCCCCCTCCCCGCCTCTCCCGCGTAACGCTCACGCGCGCCCTTCTATTAATCGAATATCGCCGTCGTCGATAAATAACAATCGAGGCGAATTCACGTTCTTGTCGGAATTTCTCTTGTTACACAGTTAACACCATCATCCGATTCTGTTATTCTACACGATCTTTCTATATAGAATTAGCACAGAAGTACGGAGACGATCGCGGAAATACTCCCTTACATCGAATCGATAACTATTGGTTTCACGAACCGATAACCAATAAATTTTACGACTTACCTCATATAATCGGATCAATGAGCTTATACGACAATCGAAAAGCAATTTAAACCACTTATACGTTTACAAAGTTATAAAGTATCATTGTGTTTCTTTTGTTCTCGGGTGGAAAAATATATAAGGGCGCTATAAATTTTTGCGGCGAGCCAATGAAAACTTAATTTTTTCAGAGCAAATTATAATAGAAGATTGTTAAATAATATTCGTTAGACCTTTCATTGTTATATCTAGAAACGAATTAATTTTTATCTGTGTATACTATCTTCTACGTTATATATTACGAGAAAAGAGTGTTTTCTTTGTAAGGAGGTCAAAGTTTTTCTATTTTCTACTTTATCATTAATGTATTATTATTTTAAGGCCAGTATTACTCTTTTATATAAAGCAATTTTGCACAAAACTGCAAAAAATTCTTATACAAAGTTAGACGTAAATTATCGCATCTTAATCATATATCTTGCTAATAGTTAATACTATCTGATATTAATTCTAATATTTGTATGAGAGAGAGAGAGAGAGAGAGAGAGAGAGAGAGAGAGAGAGATTGTACTTACT